CAAACCTGTTTCTGAGCTCTACAGGCAGTTCTTTTGACCTCAGGGCTTGGTTTTTGCTCTGATATGCATTATCAGCTGTTAGACCTTTTATTAAGATGTGTGTGCGTTTCCAAATCATACCCATTCAATTGAATTTGCCACAGGTTAACTTCACTTGAAGTGTAGTAACATCTACAAGCAATTTGAATGCTCCTGAGCTAAATTTCAACTGTCCCAGATAATGCAATGGAATCATTTTAGTTTTTTATTTTTAATAAATTTGCAAAGATGTTAAAAACCTGTTTTTTTGCTTGACAATTATGGTGTATGGAGTGTAGATTGTTGTGGAAAAAAACTAATTTAAAGCAGTTTAACATAAGGCAGCAACAAAACAAAATGTGAAAAAAAATGAAGGGGTATGAATACATTCGCAAGGCACTGTATATACACAAACACGCACGTAAATATTTCTTAAATATACATGCATGTGTGTATTTATATAAATATAAACAGTACACACACACACACACACATCACATAAACATTTTTTGGATGCTATTAAATCGCAATTAATCCACTTGACAGCCCTTTTTCTTATACAGTGTAACTTGACAAAGATTTAAGTAGTAAACCTTTACACTACAAATGATGGATTCACGCATCAAATCCTTTGTGCAACACCCTTGTTAAAAAGGCAAAATTTAAAAATGGCTCTGATCGGGCCATTACATTTTGGTTTTTATTTGTCCGTTTGTTTTGCAATAGAAAGCACTAAAAACAGCAGTCCGCTAACAACGAGTACTTTCTAACTTTCACATGAACTACTGCAGTTGAGGGAGACTCAGCAGTGCAGCAGCCCTTATCTGAAGGAAGAGCTGCGATACTGTACTGGCAGCCACCCACAGGTCTTCATTCACAGCTGATTCCTGTGCTGTCTGCAACCCAGCGACTGGCCACATCAATCCAAGGGCCGACCAGAAGGGAAATAATACATCCCCACCCTCAGGGCTAACTCAGCACAGCAGCATTGTGTCAGCTAGTCTCACACTTCCTAACAACATCTAGAGCTCCCAGGGTTCAACTTCCTGTAAAGCCTTCTGGAAAACAGAGAAATATAGGAGTGGTGTTAAACCAACATCCTCCAGAATGGTGAGAAAAGGGAGAGAACTGGGTTCACTATATTAGTGCGCTCTATTCCAAGTCAGAAAATAGATTTCTGTGAAGAAAAAATTAGGTGAGAAGGTCTTCTGAGAAGAAAATTGAAGTCATTATTTACCAATAAATCTTTACGTCAACTCTAACTGTCCTAGGCACGTTCATTATACGCACAGGAGAACACACACACACACACACACACACACACACACACACACACACACACACACACACACACACACACACACACACACACACACACACACACACACACACACACACACACACACACACACACACACACACACACACACACACACACACACACACACACACACACACACACACACACACACACACACACACACACACACACACACACACACACACACACACACACACACACACACACACACACACACACACACACACACACACACACACACACACACACACACACACACACACACACACACACACACACACACACACACACACACACACACACACACACACACACACACACACACACACACACACACACACACACACACACACACACACACACACACACACACACACACACACACACACACACACACACACACACACACACACACACACACACACACACACACACACACACACACACACACACACACACACACACACACACACACACACACACACACACACACACACACACACACACACACACACACACACACACACACACACACACACACACACACACACACACACACACACACACACACACACACACACACACACACACACACACACACACACACACACACACACACACACACACACACACACAAATTAACTGCAGCTGCAAAAAAAAAAAAAAAAAAAAGTGCAATTGTAAAAAAAAATAAATAAATAAAAATTGTTTTGCTTTCGCTGTTTGTAAAATTTGGCACAATTTTTGTAGTAATAATAATAATTATTATTAGCAATAGTAGTTTATAATAATAATAATAATAAAGTGACTAAAAATAAGAAATATCACTATTATAATATTTCACTGTAAAAAACCCTGAGTATAAGAAATAATAATATAATAATTGTATTTTACAACTGTAAATTTACAATACTAATGATAATTACGTTCATCTTAATTTCTTAATTTTCAAATGTTAAATCATCAAACTTTTATTTTGACAGAAAACCACAGGGAGCCATATCATAATTTAGTTTTTATTTTGATTAATCAATCATGCATCCTTAAAAGATCATATATCTATGTATAATATTTCATTTGAATTAGTTTATATGGTTGATTTTTGCATTTGTGTACTTCGGTTGTTCCTGAATTTTTTCATAAATTTACAATAAATTTCATTACCCAAGTTATTGAAGAATCATGATTTGTTGGTAAAAATGTATGAACGCAGATTTAACTTTGCATGTACACACAGTTCATGAATGAATCATTCTCTTGAGTGAGATCTTTTTTAATGACTCACAAAACTGCTGAATAACTTTTGAATAAACTTTTTCTGAATAAATTTGTGATCCGAGTTCACCTCAAGTTTTAGGACTTTAATTGGTGCTTTTTTTAATCTTGAAAGATCATTGTTCAAAATATCTCCTTTTGAGTTCAACATAAAAAGAAAGGCATACAGGTTTATGACAACAATGGTGCAAATGGTGACAGAATTTGCATTTTTGGAGTGAGTCAAAACAAGCAGATGCAGTAATAACATTCCCAGATGAGATCTTACAAGCCTTTAAAAAGCATAACTCATCCAAAAAAGAAAGTGGTCACCACTAACACTCTTAACATGTCACATTCAGTTGTAAGACATCAAGAGCTGCTTGGTGTCATGATATCAAAACTGACATGGCAAGTTTGAATATGCTCATGCATGAAGAATATTTGAGAGCTACAGCGGAAACGAAGATTTTCAGTGAAAAACAACATGCATTTCAGTCTGTTCCTCACTCAAAAGATATCGGACAACTTTGAATATAGTAGTTCTTACAACTCATGCACTATTTTATTTGAAACAATATGGGGGTGAGTAAATTAAGACAGAATTTTATGTTTGGGTGAATTATCCTTTAATTTTTGTATTTTAAGATAATAAAAAAAAACAAGTTCATTTAAGGATTTGGAAGTGATATGGTCCACTCTGGAACATTATCAGCCTGTAGCATTCAAGGTTCTGGAAAGTTCAACAAGATATGCCTGAACGAACCAGAAAAGGCATATTGAATACACAAACACCAATCTTTTTCTAAGCTCTGTGGGAATCCAGTCCTGAAAGGCCTGTCGCTATCCTTGTCCTCGCAGACGTGACAAAAAAAAACACCCATTCAACGGCATTACGCAGATCATAAAATGAACTGAAGTCACACGATGCCCCACAAAATACTTTCATCAGCGACATTTTACAACCAAGATTTTATTGCACATATCTGAATTTATGGTAACACCATTAGATGGAAGAAATAGGAGAGAGACACAAAGCTACACAGAAAACAACAGGTACCCTAATGCACCAAGAGTCAACATGTAATCGGAACCGACTTTATTTATCGATATTACAACTGTGAACAATTCAACTGTAAATGTTATTCCAAGACAAAAAATAAAATGTAAACACATTTTCTTTTCAGATGATGTCTCTTTGGCCATATGTAGTAGAAGGGGCAAACCACACTTTAAAATGTCTGAATGTCAAACCAACAGACAACTGCAAACCAATGATACTAGATCTTCTTAGAACAGCATAACTAGATTTTTGCAGTGAATCCTTCTAACTCGTCCTAAAGTTTTGCTTAGTGGATGTATGAAGTAATTTGCCCTTAAAGGGGTCATATGATGCTGCTAAAAATAACATTATTTTGTGTATTTGGTGTAATGAAATGTGTTAACTTTTGGTTTTAATCTTTTGTTTTTATATTAATAATAACCCTAACTTTTATTCAAGTGTTAAAAAACAGAGTATAACTGAACACATTACCAGTATTTATCTGGCACAAAAACAATTAGGGTGATGGCATTAAAACATTATCGGCTAGACGGCTACTAACAAGTCAACAACCAACATGGGCTTTTTAATGACCAGTTATATCAATAGCGAAGAGTGGCCAATAAATTATGATATAATGCCAACATAGCATTTAATGTCAGCAAATGGGACACGCAGAAAATTACTTCAATACCAATATTTACCAAAAACGCAACTTGCTGATATTTAGTTTTTATCTAATGAAAAGAAATCCATACATTTTTAGGTTTGTAGATTCTTTTTGGGGACACTGTATATGCAATGAAAAAAGTCCAACTTTGTTATTACAGTGTTTTTATAGTTTGTATTTTGTCCCATGTTAATGCACAGGCAGTGCATGTCAACTATGTGCTACTTTTTACATGCAAAGATTGAAGGTAGAATGAAACTTAATGTATGGGATGTATGTCAAAACTTGACATAAATCTTGTCTAGCCAGGTAGGCAGCTGCCTAGGTTTTTCCAAGTCATAGCTGAGCGCAAGAAATTACTCAATTTTATGAAAAACGGCTTGCTTTTATAGCAGTTTCGAGTGTATTTTTAAGAGTAAGTTAAAGTCCCCAAGTGCATGTGCGTGATCTGACATTCTTTGGTCAGTTTTTATTTCTTCAAACTAACCAAAACAGGGTGAGGCTCTTACTTTGCAGTTGAACACATTATAAACAAGCACGCTATGTACTGGACCTGGTGTCTTAATAAGAGACATTGCACCATCAAACGCGTAAAAACATGTTTGCAAACTCATACAAGCGTTGACTGATCTTACCTCGTCCTGTTTCTGAGAAATATCAGCTTGATTAGGGGGTGTGTGTACTGCTGAAGTCCCGTTTTGGTTATGGAAGTCACCCGTAATTTATGGTCCAAGATGTGCAGGTCCATCGTTTACTAGTCCAGCAGGAAGACGCCGTGAAAATGTGTTCTGTGCAGTGCAGGTGGGCGCGTTAAATAACGCAACGCGAGAACCGCCTATGTGATGTTACATACCCCTGTGCTTCCAAAACGCTTCATCCTCGTGCATTGGGTACGCTGTTGAGAGAGACTCATTCGATGTAACAATTCGATTCGAGAATTAAAATGCTGTTTACAATGGGACTTACAGTTGGCTTCCTCCAGGGGGCGTTTGGAGCCGCTAAACTAATTATTATTATATAATATTAATTAATATTATCTGTTTTATTTAAGATTTTTGTAGATTAAAAAGAGTTTTTAATCAATTATGTTCAAGAATTAACAATTATATATTAACAAATGTTCTATGTAAAATATAAACAAAATCCATATGAAGTCATCACAAGTGATCGTGATAAGGCTAATCTGATCAGCGCTGAGTAAAGTAACAGACACCACGTGACAACGCCGTTTTATAGTTCGCTTCAGCAAATATTCAAGGAAGTCATTTACACCAGAAAATGGCACGGAGAAACTGACAAAAACATTGATTATAATTCGGAGATTATTATTTAAATCCATCGAATCTGAAAACATATGCGTCGCGAAGCCCCACCCACTTTGGAAACCATCGTTTCACGCTTATTGCCATTCTACCAGTTCACTTGATTCTACTTGTATGGTTCGAACAGCAGACGGCCCAGTTCACACGCCCCCTTGCTTTTAAAGGGACAGAAGCATCTAAGATGAATCAGTTTCACAAATATAACTGCTTAAGAGGGCCATGAACTCTGTTAATTTGATGACAGTGAAACTATCTCTGTATTTAAATTAATTCAAATAAGGCCTTAGTTATATCAAATCATCCAAATAATGTTTGTGGCATTTATGCAATATCATTACCATCAAATGAATGGGATAGTTCGCCCAAAAATGAAAATTCTGTCATTAATTACTCACCCTCATGTCGTTCCAAACCTGTAAGACCTTCGTTCATCTTCAGAACACAAATTAACGTGATGAAATCTGAGAGCCTTCTGACAAAGGTCGTATACCACGATCAAGGCCAAGAAACATAGTAGGGAAGGACATCGTTACAATAATTCATGTTACACCAGTGGTTCTCATCTGTAATTTTACGAAGCTATGCGAATACTGTCTGTGCGCAAAGAAAACAAAAATAATGACTTTATTCAACAATTTGTCTCCTCTGCGTCACCCTGGTGCCATTTTGGAGAGTGTAACGGTGCATGCACATGCTATGATCTAAACGTAAACGTTTACGTTTGGTGCTGCTGACACAGAACACACATGCGCTGTGCCTCGTTTACGTTCGGATCAAAGTATGCACATACGTTGTTTACGTTAAGATCATTGCATGCGCATGCTATGATCTAAACGTAAACGTTTACGTTTGGTGCTGCTGACACAGAACACACATGAAAGTGAAAGTGACGTGACATGTGGCCAAGTATGGTGACCCACGCGCTGTGCCTCGTTTACATTCGGATCAAAGTACACACATACGTTGTTTATGTTAAGATCATTGCATGCGCATGCGTCGTGAATAAAGTCGTTATTTTTGTTTTCTTTGCGCACAAAAAGTATTCTCGTAGCTTCGTAAAATAACGGTTGAACCCCTGATGTCACAGGGACAATTTTAACGATGTCCTTACTACATTTCTGTGCCTTGATTGTGGTAGGAACCTTGCTGTCTGTGGGAGGGTCAGAGAGCTCTCGGATTTCATAAAAATATCTTAATTCGTGTTCAGAAGATGAACGAAGGTCTTACAGGTTTGGAACGACATGAGGATGAGTAATTAATGACAGAATTTTCATTTTTGGGTGAACTATCCCTTTAAGCAATTGTAAAGCATCGGCAACCAGCCACACTTGTAAGTATTTATGTACAGTGAAAATGGCCATGGTAACATCAAGTATTATTAAATCACAATAATTTATTATGGTGTAATAAGTGACAACAAATCAACAGAAATTATTTGTTCATTTATTATCCTATAATGGCGTTTTAAAGTTTACAACATTATAATGAAACCTTCCAATAAATGCATTCAATTTAGCAAATTTATTTTTAAATTATAGATAAAAAGCTATGCTGACAGGCAGTTTCTTCAAGCATCCAACAGGCCAAGTGATGCATTAGAAAGGAGAATAATGACTAAAAACAAGACTGCATAAAAAAAAATATATATCTATATATATATATATATATATACTTTAACAGTCTCGTACGATGACACTGAGGTCTGTCATTGCAGTTCTCAGATTGGCTTCAACACTGGCACAGTTTTGTCTTCTTGCAGACTTTAGGAGCAGCTCTACTCTAACACAACTGCCCGTCTACTTCAAGAGTACCTGAAGACCTTGATCATCTGCTTCAGATGTGTTTGAGTAAAGTCAGATCTAAACAGTAGATCTCCTGGTGGATAGTGTCTTAGGTATCATCACAGGTGAAACACTGTTGATTTTACTGCAGAGGTGAATGTTCCATGGGAATCATAATTCTCGATTCCATCTTTTGGATAAGAGGCACTGTCAAAAACAAAAATAAACAAGTTTGAATGTATTGAACAGTTCTAACAGTTCTACTGAAAACCACCATATGGTGCCATTCACAAATAAAACACATGAATTGCTTACTATTTCAGCATTACTCTAGCATAATTGTGTGAAGTATGCACATTTTCTGTATGCAAGGAATACCCAGAATTCCAAAATTCCCCTTTTGACTCATTATTTGATCAGACAGCCACAAGTTAAGACATTTTTACAGAATTTAAAACAGTATTTTTTTATTATTTCAAAGATAAGTGGATGATTTGCTGAATTAAAATTGGCAATGAAGGATTTATGGATGCATATTAAAATATAATCTACTGTTCAAAAGTTTGACAGTATGTAAGAAAAATGTTAGTAGTCTCTTATGCTCACCAAAGCTTGAAAATACAATATAAACAGTAATATGTCACATGACCCTTCAGAAATTATTACAGTATGCCGATTTGCTGCTCAAGAATGTTATTATTATTATGTAGAAAACAATTGTGCTACCTAGTATTTTTGTGGAAAATGTGACTTTTATCAGAATTATATGATGAAATTGAAAAGAACAGCATATTATTTGAAATAGAATATATTTAACATATTTGAACATATTTGAAAGCATTTGAATGGTAGTGTATAGGCTGCTTTAAAATGATATGTGCTAGGGCTGCACGATTAATCGCATGCGATATTTAACGCGCATCTTATCAGTAAAGCCGGTTCTGTAATCAGCGGTAAATCTCCATCACCTGCGGGCTTTCACATTGAGCAGCATTAACTACACAGAGCCGTTGTTCACTGACGAGCTGCGCTAAACCACGTTCATATTCGCGCGATTTTTTGGGCAGCTCATCAGTGAACAACGGCTCTGTGTAGTTAATGCTGCTCAATGTGAAAGCATGCAGGTGATGGAGATTTACCGCTGATTACAGAACCGGCTTTCTGACAAGATGCGCGTTAAATATCGCATGCGATTAATCGTGCAGCCCTAATATGTGCACATACTTTTTAAACAGACAGGCAGTATAGAGTATATTATTATATTAATAATCAAAAACCCGCTATCTTTGTTCTTACTCACATGTATAGTGCACATTGGCATCCCAGCCCTCTTTTAACCAAGCAGCATTTCTGGTCTCTTCTCTGGACTGCAGGTCTTTATAGGCTAAAACACATTAAAAATATTCAGTACAACTGAGAGATTTTTAAAGCACTTAATAATATGCAATGATCAGAAGAAGATATGTGCTCAGTGAAGGATGTTCTAACCCCATAAATGATGAACAACATACAATTCACCGATCTGTGTGAAGAAGCCGCCCACTGCTTCATTGTTTTCCTGTCTATATTTGATAGCTCGAGCCCTGGAACATGATAAAATAGATTAAATATGCAACATGGTGATATAACATCAGTCTTTTTTCCTTAAGTTAAACTGTACAATTCACACACAAACTTACCAGTGATTTCCCCATTCGATCATTGTTCCAGGCTTGATTCAGAAATTTCAGGACAAACCAAACAGGAAAAAAAGAGAAAAAAAGTTTAAAATTGACTCACCCTCAGGCTATCCAAGGTGCGAGTTTATTTCTTTATCAGAACAGATTTGGAGAAATTTAATATCACATCACTTGCTCAACCAATGGATCCTCTGCAGTGAATGGGTGCCGTCAGAACGAGAGTCCAAACAAACAACTCCAGTCCATCAATTAATGTCTTGTTAAGCAAAAAGCTGCTCGTTTGTAAGAAACAAATCCATGATTAACATGTTTTTAACTTCAAACTGTTCCTTCCAGCTAAAATACGAGTTGTCTATTCATAATAACTGATATCTCCAGTGAAAAGGTTGTTTCACCTCAATCAGGAGAGGAATGTTCATAGATCAAGCATTGCTCACAAGCAAAAAACACAGTCCAAAACATTTTCAAACAAATGGATTTTGATGGGATAGGACAACAGGGGATGGACTTTTTCACTGAAGGAAGCATTATCATGGACTGTTTTATCAGCTGTTGAAACTCTCATTCTGACGGCACCCATTCGCTGCAAAGAATCCATTGATGGGCAAGTGATATAATGCTAAATTTCTCCAAATGTGTTCCAATGACAAAAGAGCTCATCTTAGATGGCCTGATGGTGAGTACATTTTCCTTTAAGCTTTAAAATAAGAAGGTGTATATTTCAAACAGAAAAATTAAATGGTATTTACTACTAGTTGGTATGTTCTCAGTTCATAAATGTTGGGACCGCTTCTGGGCGCAGGCTCGTTCCAGAAACTAAACTCCAGAAGAAGCTGGTTGCGTCGGGAGATCAACATTTTACTCCTCTCTTTTCGAAATGCAAGATACGCCTGCACAGAAAACATTTTGATAAAGAACACACAATACATAGATTCTAACATCCTTACATCTACATTTTAAGAGATGTGTTAAATACCGTATTGCGGTTGAGTTTGCGCAAACACTCTGTTAGAGCAGGATACCCACCAGAATACCTCCAGAGATGCACTGCAAACACAAAACAGCATGTGTCACTATAGTACTACAGCTAACAGATATTTAAACAAACCAAATCTGGTGCT